TTGCTCGAACAACGCTGGGAAATAACTGGAAAGGCAAGACGTGTGTATCAGAAGTTCTGACACTTTTGTGAAAACGCCTCGGAATACTAGGACAATCGATAAGAAGTAACAACTATCCTTGTTCAATAATTCAGATACAAGGAAACAGGCAGTCGATGCACAAATTGATTTGACAGTGAATATACATGCACTCAGGGGCGGCGCTACAACTGGTAATAATAAACCGTGAGTTCACGCACCATCCGAGTAATGGACGTGTTTTAACGCGGGATAGTTTTTTTAGAGATGAAATTAAGTACCGTAACAGCAATCCGGCGTCTCAGCAGTTGCTCATTATTTTTTATGTCCTTGAGATTGTTAAGAAAAGTGAAAAATGTTGTTAGTTTGCACCTTGAAAGTTCAACAACAGTTCGTACATTGCAAAATAGAAAAATTAATTGTTGGGAGGTTGGGACTCTGTTAAGCACTTTTTCACACCGAAGAGCCGCGCAGGCAGAAGCCTAAATGTCAGGGCACCGCGGAGCTTAAAGAAACTTAATCCGCTTTTTGAACTGCCTAAGGCTAATGGAACTGTTAAAAGCTTCCTCGTTTTTGTTATTCCACAATCTCGATGCTATAGAGACAAAGGAGCGGTCGTACCGACCAGTTCTGGATGTACGTCAAGGTTAGGATTGGAGGCCGAAGTCGGGCGGGTCTGCCTGGTAGGCAATGTCGGAGCCAAGGTCGAACCCTCGGGAACACCACCATAAACATTATGGAATGAAGAGGTGACCACAACAATTACGACGGATATCTTGCGTCCAGAGAGAAAGTCAGCCACCCATATGCAAAGCTTCCCGAGGACGCTAAAGGATTGAAGTTTAAATAAGAGGGCAGCATGCTACAGTAGATTGAAGAACAGTGACATGCGTTTTACCATAAGACTGGATGAGTTTACTCCACAATTGCGTGACGTACGCTAGGAAGTCCCCTGTGGATCGCAGGTGCCGGAAACTATAGTGCAGCGCGGCGTTAGAGGCATCCCAGAAGCTCCCAAGTTATGCACCTCTCCATCATCTTACGAGTATAATAGAAAGCAGAGCTATAGGACTGTAGTTTTAAGGGTCAGTCTCAAATCCTTTTCGGGATGGGTGGGACATGAGCAAATTTATAGTCTTCTGGGAAAGTGCCGGAGTCGAAAGATGTCTAGAAGAGACCATAAAGAACTGGAGCATGATCCGCTGCACACCTCTTTAATAATGGGTGATTTTTTTGCTAGTATCGTTTTGGCAACACTGTTTTTGACAGATGACGCGTGAATCGTGTCATGTATCATTGTCAAACTTGTGTAGTTTGGTCTATAATGTAACCATGAATCGACTTACGAACGAACAACGCTTGCAAATTATTGAATTTTACTATCAAAATTCATGCCCGGTTAAGAGAGTGCATCGAGCACTGCTTCCAATTTATGGGCAATTTGGTCGGCCTACTGAGGCAGCTATTCGGAAGCTTGTGACTAAATTTCGAACCCAGTTTACATTATTGGACATTAAACCACCAACACGCAGACGTAGACTGAGGACTGAAGAAAATATTGCGGCTGTATCCGCCAGTGTTAGTGATGACCGTGAAATGTCGATTCGCCGCCGTTCGCAGCAATTGGGCCTCTGTTACTCCACTATGTGGAAAATTTTGCGACAGGATTTGGGTGTAAAACCTTATAAGATACAACTGGTGCAAGAATTGAAGCCACACGACCTCCCACAACGTTTCCAATTTGGTGAATGGGCGCTGGCAAAGTTGGAGGAAGATCCACATTCTTATCGAAAAATTGTGTTCAGCGACGAAGCTCATTTCTGGTTGAATGGGTACGTTAACAAGCAAAATTGCCGCATCTGGAGTGAAGACCAGCCAGAAGCATTGCAAGAGCTACCAATGCATCTCGAAAAAATCACTGTTTGGTGTGGATTATGGGCCGGTGGCGTCATCGGGCCGTACTTCTTCAAAGGCGACAATGGCCGGAACGTAACTGTGAATGGCGAGCGCTACCGTGCGATGATAACAAACTTTTTTTTTGCCCAAAATGGAAGAGCTGGACTTGGCTGACATGTGGTTTGGGGCCCGTCAATTGGCCGCCTAGATCGTGTGATTTAACGCCGTTGGACTATTTCTTGTGGGGCCATGTTAAGGCTAATGTCTACAGGGATAAACCAGCAACGATTGACGCACTGGAAGCCAATATTGAAGCATTTATTCGTGAGATACCGGCCGATATGTTGGAGAGAGTGTGCCAAAATTGGACCTTGCGCATGGGCCATCTAAAGCGGAGCCGCGGCCAACATTTACATGAAATAATCTTTAAACATTAAATTATATCGACCGTTCTATCCACTCAAATAAAGATTTAATCGTTTTTTCAAATTTTTTTGTGTTTTTTTTTAAATCAAATCCTATACCTCTTAAAAAATTACCCGTTATAATGGCAGGAATCAAGCACGCACCAGACACTTTGTTGATGTTAAGCAACAAGAGCATTGTTACTTTCCGCATAGTGTAGGGAAGCATTTGAATCCACTGCACTCGGGTCCCTCTAACAAGATTTCTTTCTGGTTAGCAGCATCACATAGATGCGATTTTCATAGCTTAAGTCAAAATATTTCATTTTGAATAGTACTCTATATCATATACATGAAGGAAGTCTCATCCACCCACAATTGTTCATGAATTACTGCAAAACAAATTTGTTCCTAAAAACATCTAGAATCGGGACGGACTATGAAGATGACTGTATATATACTAAGTGACATAAATCCGAACATCCAATTTAAATGGTTTTTTATTTTAATAAAATTTTGTATAAGTACTTAATGAAGCATAATAAGTAAATGATAAAAAATTCAAAATGATTGCACTGCTTTAAAGCCCTTTGACCTTTAATAATGTGTGGATTCACCCTGATGTGCTACGCATTCTCCAACGCGCCTAGGCATGCTTCTGATCAGGTGGTCAATGTCCCCTGTGGTATCTCATTCCAGGCAACCACCAACTCCTCTCGAAGTGCTTCTAGAGTCTGAGGAGGACGTTGCAAATTGAGCAATCCCCTACCCATCATATCCCACACGTGCTCAATTGGGGATAAGTCGGGAGATCTTGGTGGCCATGGTAACAATGTGACATCATTATGTTGAAAGAAGTCTATTGTGACTCTTGCAACATGTGGTCGGGCATTATCTTGTTGGAAAGTTGGATCTGCCAGGGTGTCAAGATAGGGTAAAAGATGGGGTTCTAGAACTTCGTGGATATAACGCTGCGCGTTCATGTTACCTCTGATGAAGATTAGAGGTGACCTGGAACCATAAGCTATAGCACCCCAAACCATAACTCCAACAGTGTGATGAACATGTCTTTCAACAAAAAACTGTGGATTCCTCCTTTCACCACGTCGCCTTCTAACCCCGGCACGACCATCGTGCATGCCTAAACAAAATCGAGACTCGTCACTAAAGACAATACTGTTCCATTCCTGATCCCAGAGTGACCGTTGTCTGCACCACTCAAGGCGATTACGTCGGTGTTCTCGAGTTAAAGGGAGGACCCAGTGTGGCCGGTATGAAAACAAGCCAAAACTTCTCATTCGTCGGTAAACACTTCGCATGCCAATAGGTCTTCCGTGTTCTGCAAACTATTCATTTGCAATGGACCTGGTAGTGGAGAAACGGTCCCTTAAGGCCAATAATCGGCGGCGATCTTCACGGTCTGTTGTTCTACGGCGGCGTCCAGTGCCCCTTGCTCTTTGCGTACGGCCTTCTCGAAGCCATGCCTGAGAACACCTAACCACAGTGTCTACACTTCTTTGCACTCTAACTGCAAATGCCCGAAAAGAAAGTCCAGCTTCCCGAAGTCCCACTATACGGCCCCTATCAAACTCTAGGCATCGTAACCGATCGTAAAGGATGTCAAGAACCAAAATCCGCCAACGTTGATTCTTTACTGCGGCTGAAATATTCATTTTTAGAGCGTTAGTGAATTAAAAAAAAGGAGTATAAAAACCGGAATGTCCAACTGATAAGGCTGAACATTTTTTCACTTGTTATTTACAGTAACATAAATACATTCACCAACTTTTATTAAAATAAAACCATTTAAACTGGGTGTTCGGATTTATATGTCACTTAGTATACGATTATTTGTTAGAACCACATCGCTATTCACTACTAGCGCCAAGCGAAAAAAACCTGTCTACCCGTTGAGGCCAGCCTTTTTTCAGTAGGTCACACCCCCAGGCCAGAAGTGTTTTTTAATTTCTTTATTCAGATAAAGTATATACGGATGATGTTGAATAAGTATTAGCCCATGTGAAGAGCAAATTTTGCCAAAATGGCAAATGTATCAAATCTATACATGTGGCCTCGTGGTGTGACTCTCGAATTTTCTCAACCCCACGCCACGTGTGTACATTCGATACATATTTCCATTCGTATACATCTTATGGAAATTTCAAACTAATTGGGGAAAAATGATAAAAAGACAACTTCAGTGATATTTATACAATATATTTACAAAGAACAAAAATTGTGGAAAACAGAAAATAGAATGAAATTATCGTTTGCTTGGCACACAGTTGTGTGTTAGAAAAAAACAATCAATGCACATAAACTTATGTGTGCATGAAACACATGAGGTTTTAACTTGTTTGCTGAGTGTTGTGGCCTTCTTTGAGTCGAATTGCTTTTGGAACTTGTCGTAGCAAACTACGCAACGTCCTCTTTTTGGGCGATTTTCAGTCAATCGGTGTTTATGATGTAGTTGTTGGGGAGTCAGCAGTGCCTGCTCATCTAAGGTTCTTAGATTTTCCAATATTGCTGTCACGATTTCCTCCCTAAACCGGACAATTGTTATTTTTTTCCTTACCACCAGTGTATACAATCTGTGACTGTTTACAACTGCGGTGTTTGTTAGGAGATCAAACGCAAGTTTTCTATGCCATTTGAGGCCTTTACGCAGTGGACTGCAGTAACCTGCCATCTGGTCTGACAAATCTATATAACCTTTAGCAGAATTGTAATCCACTATGGTCGAAGGTTTTTGCATTCTTCTTCCTCCTCTGCTTTCAATCTCCACTAAATGCGGCACTTGTTTTGTAGTCAAGAAAAGGACATCTCTTTTGTCCTTCCATTTTCCAATAATGATTTTTTTCTCACTATGTTGCAAATATTTCATATCCCCTCGCCTAAGTTTTGCTTTGGTAACTCCATGTGGGTTATGTTTTCTATTCACTCTAAGGGTACCGAGTAAATGGGTTTTTCTTTTCAAAAGTTCTTCTGCCAATTCAACACTTGTATAAAAGCTATCAGTAAACAGGGTTCTCCCTTGGTCCAACAATGGCTCCATCAGTTCCATAGTAGTTCTAGTGGTAACAGTGAGATTTCCAGAAGAGGCTTTTCCTGTGTATACTTTCGCGTGCCAAGTGTATCCACCCAACAGACACACTTTGTAAACCTTCAAACCATACTTGTGGCGCTTACTTGGAATGTATTGGCGAAATTTTATTCGCCCTCTGAACGGAATCATCGACTCATCTATGGTAATTTTTTCTCCAGGTTCAAACATTATGGAAAATTTGTTGTTCAGCAAGCGGAGTAAATGTTCGATTTTGTACAGTCTGTTGTCTGGAGATGCCATTTCATTATCAGCAAAGTGGATGAATCCCAACAATAATTCAAACCTATTTCTACTAATATAGCAACTGACATCATTTTTGTACAGAATATGTTTCTTCCAATAGTCGCGAATTTCGGGTTTTCGGTCTAGTCCCATCCATAGTAAAAACGCGATGAAGATTTTCATTTCCTCCCTGTTTGTATCAGTCCAAGCATTATATCTACTCCCAGTAGTAATTTCTTCTCGCGCAATGAGCTTACAAAGTTCCTGGGTGGCATAGAGGTTTGTATTGGAGACAATTAGATCCATAATCTCATCATCAAGAAAGAGATTATAAAAATCTAGCGGTGTTTTTTCGGTGTGCTCTAAGAGCATCAAACAATGTTGAGAAACTGCGTTTGTCTTGTTGCAATCAAAATTGAAAAGATCACATGATGGTTCTGACCAGCTCCTTTCTCCTTGTGCCTCTTGAACACCCGCTTCAAGTACGTCATCATCTTCATTGCCATTTGTCTCGACTTCACCTTCAAGGGCTTCATAATCTTCATCATCGTCCTCAGATGAATCCTCCACTAAAACAACAGTAACGTAAGGTAAATCTCAGATCTAGCGTGAATATGTGAATAGGTGAATAGGACATACTAATGAATTATGTGTGATAAATTTGAAGGTTACCGGTCAATAACGTACACCTACTATGAAAATGAATATTTGACGTTCGTAAATAACGTAAATAAGAATCATACTTACAGCTACTCCCGCTACTACGTCCGTCGTCATCGTTTCCTTCAAGAATTGCGACCAACTCATCGTCTGTATATACTTTTCTACCCGACATCATTTATAACATAAGTACACAAACGTACGAGAACACAACTGACTGAATAATGCGACAACACGATTAGCACGGATAACAGTAGGGGTTGGTTGTTATTTATCAATGCACATAGGCAACCAGGATACCACGGAATAGCAGTTTGCTATTTTATACTGTTATTTTAAAAAGTTATTCAAAAATAGCATCAACAGTCATAACAGTTATTTCAAAATAACCATATTTCCCGTCTCTAGATAACAGCATCCGCAGTGGAAGAACATAAACGCGTTATTTGGAAAAACCTAGTGTTAAATTCAAATTGTCAAACATATATGTCCAAAGCAAAGGATATCGTTAGTTGGATACTCTTTGCCAAAACCATGTGGCTGGCTTTGTTGACGTTAAGGCTGGTCTACATCAATGCTTGTTGAAATCACAATCGTAGTTGCAACGATTATTATAAGAGTTGAATACGAATTTCTTATCAGTGCGTTCCTAAAACATCATCATAATCATAAGAGCACATAAAATTCAGGTTTTATGTTTATGCTTTATGATTTACATCAATTGGGATTGTACATAGGTGTAGACCAGCCCTCACGTCAAAAAGTATCAACACAGTCTCAGAAAAAACCTTCTTCATCCTCCCCCTCCTTAATTTTTCGCCCGCCAAAGAAAGGATGTACAGTACGAGGCCATTCAAGGTCGTTTTACCATTGAAAGTAAGCTAAACCATGTATCGAGATGATACAGAAGCTTTTAATGCAACCCTTTAGTGTTGTATCATTCTGATACATATGGCCTCCCACTGTAAAGCAAATATGTATCGAATCTATACATGTGGCCTCATTATGTAAACTCAATTTGTATCAGATAGATACATATGGCGCTATAAGGGTTAAGTGAGCTATTCAAACTTTGAACACTCAATCAGTTAGTAAAAGCGTATTAAATACAGTATACGGCGAACTCAATTAATGAAAAGAACCACGAAACTTTGACGTCATCGCTGAACTAAAACTTAATAATTAATACCTCTTTTACCATTTTTATTCCCCAGCTGATTAAACTTTATTTCAAGATCTTAATGAACTTGTCAGCACGATGCTGTTGTTAACATGTTGACAAGACGGTTCAATTTTCTGTTAGATACATACAAGGAAAATCACCGAGAAGTTTTAATCTCTGTCTTAAATAAATTTCCACCCCGCCAGAATGTGTGGATGCTGCATGCACACGTGTTCCCTGTATCCCCGTATAGCCCCACTGTACCCCATGGGTGTTTAAGCCTTCGGCCTTCGTTGTTGCTGGAGTATAAAAAAATACATTTTTCCATAATTTATACATCTCTTGAGCGTTTCATCACCTCCGTTTGAAATATCACGCCGCTCATACCCGTCAATTTTTCTGTCGTTTTATTGACCGCAACTTTTTCATTACCGGTCTTAGTGACCGCTGTTTTGCTAAGATTTAGCGACCGTTTTACAGTAGGATCATACCAAAGGCAACGGTGATTTATTTCGCTACATTAGCAACTATCTGATAGGAAAGACCAGAGCAAAGCGAATACCTTCAATTTGGTACAAATAATTACTCTTGTGTACTGTTTTCGTGACAATAAAAATAAAACAAGTTAGATCATTCAAGAAGAGCCGATATACTACAATTAGGCCCAATTACACCAACATTGATATTTGACGGTCCCTTGGACCAATGGGAAAATAGCTTATCGAAATGCAATTTGACAGAAGCTGTCAAAGGTCTCTGAATATCAGTGATTTCTATTGAAATGTTGAATGAGGTCGTGAAAAAATGGTTGCCTTTTAAATAAGGGTACATTATAGATGCAATATTATGTCTTTGTGCTTTAGAATTAGGATAACTTCCATAGAATTTCCAGTTTCACAAAAGACGGTCAGTTATGTAAATGGACCAATCAAAATGATAGAGATAATAGGTCGATTTTCTAGCTATTACATTTGGTAGGTGTTTTTGATGACTGTTCATGCGTGGCAATCTAGTTTTGTCTGTATATCACGATGTTAATGCACAATCTGGCAACCATGTCGCACCCTCAAAAAATGGCCGCTGGCAATCACACAAGTCACCTTGTTGTCATTCATTCTGCAGGGTATATGTTTTGTGACTGGGACCAAGGGTTGACAGATTCCACACATGTGTCACTCGGGGAGCTTTGAAATGCAAATAATCAGCTGTTTTTCAAATAATGTCTAATTATACAGGGTGTCCCAGAAATTGACGTCAAGCCGAAACCAGGTGATAGGCAAAGTCATAACAGCTATCAGAAAAATATTTAAAAAAATTTTATGTATGTGTTTTGAAAATCATAGGTCTTTCAGTCTGTCAACTCCTGTTACTACAAATATTAACTTTTTTTGGATTTTATTTTTACAATGTAATGATGAATAATGCATCTTCAAACTGGTGTCTCAACCTTACTGCCAACTTTTCTCGTTCAGGAAAAATTGCTACTTATTTCCCAACCAAGTATTCCAAAGTAAAACTTTGCTCAACTTTAACTGGCTGTACTGGAAAAAATGTACTACGAGAGTTTGGCAAGTAACCTTAAAAGTTGGCGCATTTAATAACGATTCCAAAATGGTATAACGCTTAGAAGATTGCTCGTTAACTTATGCACAATTTTTATTTGAAAAAAACTGATGAAAATTTTTCAAAATTTCCTAATTAAACAGCGATTATGAAAACGCACAAGGACCCTTAAGGATAACTGTTTGCACAACAGTGGGCGTCAAAATGCTGCTGATGATGATTTACCTTTACAGCAAATGCTCAAACTGTTTTCCTTCAGCCGCAATACACGCTCGACATCTTCTTAAAAAAGATCGGGTTATTAAACGAGCGAATCCACGGTTATTAACAAACTCAGCTGCTTCCAATAGTCTTTGCCGTAGCTCAGCTACATTTTGAATCGGCTTGAAATACACTTTTTCTTTTACAGTTTCCCAGTAAAAAAATCTACAGGATTCAAATCAGGTGATCGGGCTGGCCACGGTATTGTATAACAAGAGATGACCTTCATGTATTGAAGGGTTCAGTAACCCATGATAGGAGCTTGAGATAGTTGGAGGTATTTAGTGATTCTGAAGAGTTCTTGTGAGCTAAGTAAATTATTTTTAGCAAAGTCATGTTAGCCGTCCAAGCGGAGCAGTTTGTAGTCAAAATGATCTCAAGACAGTCCAAAGTCATCTTCTCTGAAAACTGAAGGAAGTGAATAGAGAAGTCAAAGCGGTGAAACGAAAATGTGCTGAACGTAACTTGTCGTTTTTGTCAATCCAAACTTTTTTGGATAACATGGAAAATAAAGCTGATTGCATATGTTAGCCTCATACAAAGGAACAATAGAGGAATATCGCTTTCTAACGCTATTATACAAAACGATCTCGACCGCAGAGATTTGGCATGCAAATTATGTAAATAGGTACTCACCGCGAGAAAGGGCGCACTTGTCTGAATCGGAATGAGCGGTTGCAGTTTTGCATTGTTCCATAAGAAATAACCAACTCGCTGGTGTTGGCAGTGGAAATAGAATTATCAGAACTTGTAAACATAATAAACCAGTCAAGAACTTTTGCGAGAAAAATATGCGGTTTCATGTTGCTTTTTGAACAACCTCATTTTCAGCTAGGCGGTGAAATAATAAATACAGGGTGCGGCAGAGAGGACGGACGTTTTTGGGATGGGTAGTACTCTCTGCCGGAGTCTACGAGAGAGGTGGGGAGGGTGCCGTTTGACTCGTGAGATCCTAGCATTATTTTACCAGTTGTTGTTATGGAGCACCGCGGTTTCGCCTATGATTGTTTCGTCCGAAATAATGAGTCAGTCATCGTCGTACAGCGTGAGTTTCGTCGCCACTTCAACATTCATTGGAATAGAGCTGCTCCCTCTCGAAACACCATCCTTCGCAGGTGTGGTGAACTGATCAACAGAAGGCCAAGAGGAGCGCCGCGAACAGTTCGAACTCCTGAAAATCTTGAACGCGTTCGACAGGTTTTTCTTCGCAGTTCGACTCGATCTGCCCGGAAACATGCTGCTGCACTTCGCCTTAGAGTATACGCGAACAAGCCCCGAACTCGGGACGAATGGAAGGGCGAAATTCGCGTGGAAGTCGCCCAAGTTGAGAGAGCGATGTTGGAGAGAGTCTACGCGAACTTCCAAGAACGCCTCCAGCACTGCATCAACGATTTCGGCCACCACATGCCTGATATGATTTTCTATATAGTCAACGCCAAACAAAGTGGCGTGCACGTCATCTAGGTGGGTGTGTTGAAAAATTTACACTGTTGCCAAACTTTTTGTAAAGTAATAAAATTTATTATTTACATATCTAGGTTTATAAGCAATATTAACCTCAAACGAGAACAAAAATAATAGTATAATAAAATTATAGATCTGTACTTGCATAATCATTAAGTATGACAATTATTGATCAGATGACACTATGAAACTACCATATTTAATTGATAGCTTAAAGGTACTGAATAAAAATCCAAATGGGGTCCTCCAAATTTTATGCATGGTATTTATTTTACAGAATTCATACAAAAAAATGCATTCTAAAATTAGGTAAGCTACTGGTGTAAGCTTTTTCTGTACAATAAAGTTAGTCGGAGTTTCTTTCTTCAGCGCTGTCTGAATCTGAATCTTCATCACTCTCAAAATTGATTATTAAAGGTTCGATGTCTGGTCGATCAAAAATTCGTTCTCTTTCATACCATTTAAAAATTTCTTGGTCAGTATGTCGAACACTATTTTTCCACATGTCTGGGGTAACCGTTTGTAGAGCCTCGTTCCACATATCCAAACAGTCTTTTTCACTGTTACCATCTCTACCAATATGTCTGTTATAGTAACCTTTTGCTATGCCCCAAATTAACTCAATAGGGTTAAATATACAATGGTAAGGAGGCAGACGAAGAACTTTGTGCCCATGTTGTTCCGCCAATTCATCAATCACGTATATTTTAGGTGGTTTGTTTCTAAAAAAGCAGTTATTTTAAGAATAGGAATAAACAAAAGAAATATAAACTGTCGACCAAAATATATATAATTAAGAAGCATTATGTACCGAGCAACAATACTCAATAGCTCTGTTTTAAACATTGTGTTTAAAAATGGTATGTTTTGATTTGTCAACCAGTCTTGGATATTTTTTTTTGTCCATGCATTGTTGGGCACTTTGTTCAATATCATGCTGTGATAAGGGGCGTTATCCAGTATAATCATAGATGGACTCTCCAATTTTTCTAATAAATGATGTTGAAACCATTTCAAAAAATTGTCCTGGTTCATCTCTCCATGGTAATCGCTCAATTTTGTTTTCGAAGAAAATATCGCTTCACTACCCTCAATAAACCCATTTTCATTTCCAGCATGTAATATAATGTATCTAAAATATATTAGTTTTAAATTTTATAGTGCAAATTGTGTAAAAGTACATACCTTTTACCATCTGTTTTAATAGCTTTCACGCGTTTTTGGTTTCCATTTTGCTAAGAGCGACCTATGGTCCCATTTTGAAATATCCAAGTTTCATCGAGGAAGACAAACTGGTATAAGGCCTTAGAAATTCCACCCTTTTCAAAGCTATACTTGGTAGTTCCATGAGCCCTCGTCGCGAATTGTCCTTAAGCCACTTAAATCCAAGATCTCTAAGCAACCGCCTTAAAGACGTGGCACTACCATCAAATAATGCCCTATCTCTTAATCGAGACCATAAAGTTTGTATCGTAACTTGTTCTTCTGAAACCATGTGTAATATGACATTATAATTTAGTTAACAAATTAATGCAATTTTCTGATAAGTTATTATAATAAGATCTTACTTTTGTGATACATATTATAGATCACTTCTCGAATGGCACTTGTATCCAATGTCGCTGTGTTGGTTACACGTTTAATATAACTCCGCTTTTTCTTGGGCGATTCTAAATTTGCATCACTTTTCACACCCTCGGAAATACGACTAACTGTCCTTAAATTAATTTTTAAAACAGCAGCAACACGCTACAAAAAATGAAATAAAATTTCACTATTATTAATATACATTACATATAATTATTAGTAACCTACCCCTTGAACAGCATTTAAAGGCAACAAAGGCCCGTTGTTGTCCCTTTCTTGCTCAAAGTAGTGCATTAACGAGGCCACGAGTTCCTTACACCGACTATTTAACTGTTTGGGCATCTTTATATACCAAAATTGCCTTTATCTACTCGTAAAATGAATAATTTTGTTTTGAAACAAACAGTTGTTGATTTACAGTATGCGGGGCCAAAGGATTTATAAAGATTTGAAATGCCACAAATTGATTCAGTGTCAAAATTAATACAAATGTCAGTTCCCAGTTTAAATAAGTTTCAAGGTGACAATGTGTCAACGCTGCGAAATCGGTTTAGTGCGTTTACATGTCGATAAGTGATTGGAGCGTTTGCAAAACATTTTATTTCGCATAATGCGTCTAAATTTATCAGAAAGCAACTTATGTGATATTTTAATAACAATGTTTATATGACTATTAACCATAATAAGAGAGTAATGACCATTTTACAATTTATATATAACATTAATATGAAACTGCAATAGAGCAATTGTTTGTGATAGAAACCTAGGCATTAGGTCGGGGAATTTTTATCGTGATGACGTGCACGCCACTTTGTTTGGCGTTGACTATACTTAACTGTCTCAAAGGCTATTTGCTTGTGAACCTGATTCCATAAATAAATTTGTTTTCGAGTAAAAATTAGCTTTTATGATTAGTCCATCCTCTCTGCCGCACCCTGTATTAGAGAGCTAGGAAACTGAGAATAGTGCATACATAAGCGTTAGCGCTTACGACATTTAAGTCATAGAAAGTTAGCTGATTATAGGTTAGCGATAACACTATTTGTGATTGTTAATATTAATAATAACAACAATCTTTATTGAGCTAACCAAAAGGTAGAGATCACATCGCGTGCCCTTCCATTCGACCTTTCAAAGCTACCTAAATTGAGTCACTGAGTCATCTGAAGGAAACAAATTAAATATGCAGATCATATAATTTCATTCTGTCTGTTTTTTCATGTAAGGCTTAATTGTTTTCTAAAAGGCTGTAATTAGAAAAATTTGGCTGACCCAGAGGCAGAAACAAATCTCATCTTTTTAGAGTGCTTAAACGATTGTACTATTGTCTCTGTAAAATGGTCGCTTGGAACATTTGTTGTAATAAAAGTGAAATGGTACAGGGTAGTGCTTCTTGTAAGGTGGAAACGTTGTTTTCACGTTTATCGTTTGGTGCAACATTTGCTAAATTGAAATGGCGGACAGGGGAGGTCTTTTTCTATCACCCCAGGTCCCTCAAACAGTTTTTAGTCGAACGGCATTAATTAGTAAGAACTCCAAAATGTAATACACAAAGTGAAATAAAAAAAAAATAAAGAGTAGTCCACCAATGATTAGTTTATCTTAATGGGTGGTGTTGTACTAATCTTACAAAATCAACATTTTTTGCCAGCAGCATGTAGTTTTTTATTTATAAACTCAGAAAGGGTGGACATACTCTTTCTTTTTTTTATTTCACTTTGTGTATTACATTTTGGAGTTCTTACTAAAAAAAAACCTACATAATTAATTCCGTTGGGCTAAAAACTCTTTGAGGCACCTGGGGTGATAGAAAAAGACCTCCTCTTTCCGCCATTGCAATTTGGCAAACGATGCACCAAACACCCTGTATTTCTATTATTATCATATCCCTTGGTATCCTACATTTGTATCACACTTTTGTGCCCAATAGAATGCAACTGATAGTAAGTATTATGTCAAAATAAAAGTGTCTCGATCTAATGGAAGTTGCTGGAGCATCGCTAACTTCCCAACAAAACTAACTTAAGCTTACGTCCAAAGAACGGTAACACTGTGTATATTCTTTATTAGAGTTTGTACGACGATATGTCACGAATAATTGTGCCGATCTAATGGTGTGAAATGTTGACACTCGTTATTTTAAGATACGAGGGATGTCTTTTAAGTTTAGCATATAGAAACATAGTAGGCCGCGCGGATCGAACGTCAGTACTGAATCTTAACACGTTCGCTGCCAAGCAATATTTATGATTATGCCACCAAAGGTACTAAAAGAAGACCAAACAAAAAAAGTTTCCCTGGAGCCATTTTGTCCAGTCAAAATTTATTAGTTATGATTACGTTACCTGCAGTTAGTTTCTTTGTAGGTGTCATTTTCATCTCAAAATTGTCAAATTTGTCACTCGGTCCAACAGACCGAGGCGGCGTGGAAGTAGCTTTTTTATCATATGCGCCAACTCGGTCCATTTCTCGGTCCGCAGCGATTTTGCGCAATCGACATGTTTCTTCAAGTCCGCACGTGGTGTCTATTGTCTTTCTAATTGCATTTCAGTACGTACACATTTTCAGACGGAATAGACGGTTATTGTTATTATTTTTGAATGTAGTTTGTGTTTCTACAATGTCCATAAATCGTGATTTGACGCAGAAAGAATTAGAAGAAGAGATAGAGCGAATTATGTAAAATCTGTCAGATGAAGCATCTGCATTAGAGGATGACGGTAAGAAACATTCTTTATTTCGTAGATCGATCGCATAGACTTTTGAGTTTCCGAGAATAGCTAGACTGCAAAAACGTACAATCCTTCATGCATTTATTATTTTTTTCAGACGATAGTATCGCAGACAGCAACTACGAACCTACTGATGATGAATCATCTGGTAGTTCCGATACAACCTCTACTGCCTCCCCCGTGCTTGCGCAAACCGCAGACACCAATGACGATGAGTTATCCGTTACTTCTGGGACAAATTCTCCATTACAAGGAAGTAGTGCTGCCTCCGCGCCTAGGTATGCCAAAAACAGACACAGATGACAATTTAGCTGGTAACGCCGGCGCCGCCTCGGATAATATGATATGGAGTATTCCAACAGGTAGACAACCAGCTGTATTACCCTTTTACCAAACAAACTGGTACTGACCCCATCTTGCCGAGCTTTTGCGTGAAGAATTAATGACTCTATTTTTCAATACATTGCTGACCAAACGAATCTATATGCCACGCAAGTTATTACAGATGAAGCAGATGTAAAAGGTACATCTAGGTTACATAATTGGTTTCCTACAGATAAAAATGAAATCAAGAAAGTTTTTGGCTTGCTTTCATACATGGGTATTGTAAAAATGCCTAATATACAAGCCTATTGTAGCCGAGAAGCTATGTATACAAAATCTATAGCTTCTAAAGTAATGACACGTAATAGATTTGAACTGTTGCTACGTATGTTGCATTTTGCAGATAATCAGGATAATCCAGATAATGATAGACTGCATAAGATTCAACCTTTGATTGACAAAATAGTACATAATTTTAAAACATCATATGAACCTTCCGAGACTTTTTGCATTGATGAATCCCTTATTCCATTTAGGGGAAGATTAATAATGCAGTACATAAGAAACAAGCGCTATAAGTATGGAATAAAAGTATTCAAATTGTGCAGCAAAGGAGGATATACCTATAAGTTTAAAATTTATGCAGGAAAAAATTTAGACCAAGGTCATACTACACCCACATCTGTAGTTATGACTCTTTTTGAGCCCATACTAGATTCAGGCCGCACTCTTGTAACAGACAACTGGTATACAAGTGTAGATTTGGCAAAAAGATTGATGGATAGGCAAACATATTTGATAGGCACATTGCGAAAAAACAGACGAGGCCTTCCAAAAGACCTGGTCAACAAATAACTTAAATGTGGAGAGATAGAGGCTCTCGAAAATCAGGACGGTGCCACAGTAATTTCCTGGAATGACAAACGCAACGTTTTAGTGCTTTCTACCAAACATAGCAACATAACAGTAGACACGACAAACCGCAGACAAAAAAACTGTAAAGAAGCCTGAAGCCATTGTAGCATATAACGCAGGAAAGTCGTCGGTTGATATCTCTGATCAGATGATAGCTTATCAGACACCTTTGCGTAGAACCTTTAAGTGGTATGGTAAGTTAGCCGTAGAAATTATCCTGAATACTGCAATGGTCAATGCATGGAATATGCATAAGGAAACTGTGAATGCCAGAATTTCCTTACTTCAGTTTCGAAAAGCTGTTACATACAAGTTATGTCAAGCGCGAGACGATGGGTTAGCAGAGCAACCAGATGCAGAGATGATTCCAAAAAGAAAACGCCAAAAGCACCAAATGGGCAAAAGTGATTATAAAAAACGAAGACCTTGCAGTAGATGCTATGAAAAAGTGAGAGCCGAAAAAGGATGGAAAGTAGCACGAAAGCTCAATAGAGGACGTTATTATTCTAAAGGTTATAATGGTGAACCGTTTTTCTGCTTATCATGCTTTAATAAGTTTCATAGATATGAAACTCCTTAGATAGAAATAAGTTTTTTTCTTACGTTTACGAGGCTGGCAAAATTTCTTCTGGGTCTTATGGACCATGATGGCGAATAAGACACAACTTTGGTCTTATAGACCGAGTTGGCAGCGAACGTGTTAACCCCACTCTTCAGTAAACTTAACTTCAAAGTTCCACAACAATAAGTGCACTGTTCTCACTACAGTGAATTTTTAAGGGTCACCAAGTCATTAGAAAAATGAAACTCCACCGAAAACATTTTCGCGCCATAATTTATTGCAAGTTTCAGAGACAATTATCGCAACAAGAACGCCTTGCTGAGTTACTCTCTGTTTTCGGCAACGAAGTGCCACATCAGTCGACAATTTCCCGTTGGTATGGAAAATTCAAACGTGGACGTGGGCGAGTCTTAGCGATGCCAAAAGTCATAACCGAGCTTCAAAAAATCAACCCAGAATGAAGAATCGTCCGCCACCAAGACAATGCAAGCTCGCACACAGCCCAAAAACAAGGCAGTATTAACGGAAGAAAACGTGGAATTATTGGACCATTCTCCATATAGTCCCGATCTAAGTCTTAACGATTTCTTTACTTTCCCGAAAATTAAAAACAGACTGCGTGGTCAAAGGTTCCAGTCACCAGAAGAAGCAGTTGACGCATTAAAAAATGCCGTTTTGGATCTGCCAGCAAACGAGTGGTTCGAGCGCATGCAGATGTGTATTAATCTTCGCGGAGAATACTTCGAAAACCAATAAAGTCATTTAAAACTACCTACCGTGTTGTTTTATTACCATATGCAAAACTTAAAAGACAACCCTCGTATAGAAACATTTATTTTCATTTTCACTGTACAATTACACACATACAATCGACGCATATACTCCACAGTTCATAAAATACCGTCTGTTCAAGCCCATCGATTTTTGAGGACGATGTAGTCTGCGCCAATATGAGTAATGTGACTGCTATACCAAGACGGAGTCATCAATCACTTTTTACTCGGCGACTTGACAAGCTAGTGTTATGTAATATAGACAACGCTTTGTGTAAGAAGGATGTTAAATGGATTGTTATGGTTTCGTCATAAAAGAGATGTATAAATGAAAAACAGAATAACTGCGTAGTATCTCTTTTTAGGGGCGTACTCAGAATTTAAACCACCTCGTCTATTGGAAGCAGTCATTTGACTATTTGCTTAAAATCGTAAAACGAGGATCCCAGGGTATTTGTGATACCAAAAATACTAATTTCTGCTTCTATATTTTCGCTAGTGATATTATTAGGATCAACTCCAAATGTGTACAAAATACGAACTCCTTTGTCTATTCTGGTCACGTACATTTAGTCTAATCATATCATCCGAAAACACACGTATACTATATTAATACTTTTAGAAAAAAGGTGCAGGGAATTATATTTCTTTTTTTTTATATCGAAACAGCCGCGCAGGCAGAAGCCTAAATGCCGGAACACCGCGGCTGCTATGATGATACAAAAGAAATTTTGTTAATACGATTTTTGAACTGCTTAAGGTTAGTAGAACTGGGAAAAGCTTCCTCCCGTAGTTTGTTCCACAATCTAGACACCCTCGGGACAAAGGAGCGGTCGTATCGGCCAGTTCTGGATGTACGATGTTTGACACGGTTAGGATGGGACGCCGAAGTCAGGCGGGTCTGTCTGGCAGGCACATCGCGCGGCGGCATCATGGAAGAGAGCTCTGAGGAGCAAAGCCCGTTGGTGTAGCGATAGAAAAGAGCTAGATCGCCGACGGCCCGCCGGTGCGAAAGAGTCCCGAGACTGTCTGTTAGAGAAGAGTCATCGATCAGTCGGACCGCCCTCCTCTGGACAGCATCGAGCATGGACAATGTAGTCGGGGCGGCAGCACCCCAAATGTGTGAGCAATACTCGAGGCTAGGCCTTATCTGGGCCTTGTATAGAGTGAGAAGGTCATGCGGAGAAAAGTACTTCTTAGCCCTAAACAAATAGCCTAGCTTTTTCCCAGCAGCTGCAGCTATTGAAGAGATGTGTTCGTGCCAGATCAGGTCCTCGGTGATCTGGACTCCGACCAGCCGAAATGAATGGCTCTTTGGTAGAACTCGACCGTCCATCGAAACTGTATGAGCGCTAGGACGCTTTTTGTTCGTCAAAGTACAGTACTGTGCTTTGGAAGCATTGAACTGTACAAGATTGTTGCGTCCCCAAGCAGTGATAGCCTCCAGGTCTCTTGCCAGAGATGAAGTCGTCGCTAGTCTTCTTTTTTCCAGCTCAGCGACAGAGATCGGCTTGTCACTCTGAATTCCTGCATGTAGAGTGCTGTCATCAGCGAAGCTGTGGATTGGGTTGATCGTGCAGGAAAGGAGGTCGTTGATATGTAAGAGAAACAGTGTTGGAGCCAAGACCGATCCCTGGGGAACACCCGCGTTGACGTTGTGGGATGAAGAGGAGAATCCGTCAATTACGACGGATATCTTGCGGCCAGAGATAAAGTCAGCGACCCATCTGCAAAGCTTTTCTGGGAGGCCGTAGGATGGAAGTTTGCTCAAGAGGGCAGCGTGCCACAGCTGATCGAACGCTTTCGTGATGTCAAGAGCAACGACGTGAGCCTCACCATGAGACTGGATGAGTTTACTCCACAGTTGCGTGACGTAAGCTAGGAGGTCCCCTGTGGATCGTTGGTGCCGGAAACCGTACTGCCTGTCGCTAATCAAGCTGTGACGTTCGAGGTAGTCCAGAAGCTCGCGATTTATGCACCTCTCCATCACTTTACTTATAACAGAAAGCAGAGCTATAGGCCTGTAGTTGTAAGGGTCGGTTTTAGATCTTTTTTTTTTGGGATGGGCTATACATCAGCAAATTTCCAGTTTTCTGGGAAGGTGCCGGATTCGTAAGATATCTGGAAGAGACGCGAAAGAACTGGAGCAAGCTCAGTTGCACATCTCTTCAGTACAATGGCAGAAAGCAAGTCCGGACCAGAAGCTTTGTTGATGTCGAGCGACAAGAGCACTCGTCTTACGGTCTTATACCTGAATGTTACCTCCCGCATAGTGTGGGGAACCCTTTGAATTGACGGCACTTGGGCGTTGGTGGGGACGTCCATGGTGGAGTTGGCAGCAAAGATCTTGGCTAGCACTTCCGCCTTGGCCTTTGAGTCGAATACAATAGTTCCATCCTGACACGTAAGTGGTGGAAGGCTACTGTGTGAGAAGTTCTTTTCAATCTGCTTGGCCAGCGTCCAGAAAGACCGACTGCCATTGCGCTGCGACATTACCCTGTGCCTAACTTTTATATCATGCTGGGTTTTGGCAATGCGAACCGCTTCGTTATATTTGTTTCTGGACTCGACGTCGGCTTGTCTGTTCTCTACAGTGGGGTTTTGTAAGTAGGTTCTGTGGGCCTTGATCTTCTGCTGGCGAGCAGTGTCACACGATTTGTTGAACCAGCCGTTGGACTCTGGTTTAGGAACTTTCACTGTGTGAGGGATGTATTCCTCCATTCCGACGTGGATAATTTCGGTTATTGAAGAACAGACAGTCGACGCATCCGCGTCAGTGAAACAGACATCTCTCCAAGGAAAGCTAGAGAAGAAGTCTCTGAGCCCCTCCCAGTCGGCATGTCCGTAATGCCAAGTTTTGCGGCCTGTGCGAGTTTCTGCGGCCACAGCGGCTTCTGACCGAAACCTAACCTCCACAACACCGTGATCTGAGTTACCCAGGGGGGACAGGACGGCAGTGCTGTAAGGGGCAGGATGCGTGGTCAGAAGGAGATCCAGCAGGCTACTGGCGTGTGACGAGACGCGGGGGAAAAAAGTAGGGCTCGTCACCAGCTGGGTCAGGCCTTGAGTAAGAGCGAACGCTTCGACTGCACGACCTGCTGCATCGGTCTTATTTGAGCCCAACCAAAGCTCATTATGGGCATTGAAATCACCGAGAAGGACTACCTCTGAAGCGGGGTGATTGATGTTCAGGAAGTCGATCTGGACGGCGAGGTATTCGAGTAGGTCATCCCAGTTATGGTTCGAGGGAGAGCGATAAAGGCAGCAAATAAATTTGGGTGATGTTTTGGAGTTGAGGCGAAGCCACAGAATGTCCTTCCGGTCTGATTCCAAAGAAAGATCCCTGGAGCAGGAAAGACTGCTGCGGACAAAAGCCACAACTCCCCCGTTCTTTCTCAGATTGGAGTGCACCTCGTAGTTTGGGAAGTTGACATGGTTAATCGGTGCAGCCTCTGAGAATTTTGTCTCCGCCAAGAAAAGCACGGCGGGACGATTGGATTGCAGGTAGTGATGAACAGCATCAATGTTGCTGTTGATCCCGCAGATGTTCGAAAAACAAATTTTATCTTCGATGTTGTTCCCTCGAGCCCACCCTCCACCCGGAC